CCTCCCTCATCCTCTTCTCTCTCTCTCTCTCTCTCTCTCTCTCTCTCTCTCTCTCTCTCTCTCTCTCTCTCTCTCTCTGTGATAGAACTGGTTTGAAGACTGAGGAGGGATGGCATGGCACTTTCATTACAGTGAATCTCATCTTATGCTGTCTTCTTGTTTTCTGACATGTTTCTCTGTCTGATAATGTCATCAATCTTCATATTCATTTTGTAGTGGGGCTTTTCTGAATCAAGAACCTGCAAATCCGCAAGTGTATAATTGCGACAATTCAAGCGATTTCTAGACAGGAAATTTCCGCAGAGAGAAACGGGACGACGGAACGTAGATTGCCGGGAGAGAAACCAAACAGACGACCGGCAGCAGCAGAGAAGAAGAAGAAGAAGCCGCCGCCATTGGTGGGTTTTTCAGAGCAGAAACCCTAATTTCCATATAGTGAGGAACTGATGACAAAGATTCTGCTGCGCGTGAGAGACGAAGCAAGTGATACGGGAGCAGCAAACGGATATTTAAATGTAAAAAACTTTAAAAGGAAAAAAAATAAAGAGGTGGATATGAAGTGAACACGTGGCAACAGATGAGATGAACGAAGGAGATGCTGGGCCATTCTGATTGGTCGATGAGTACACCGTGTAGGGTCACGTCGATTTTTTCGGACACTTTTACGATGACGTGTGATATTTTTTTTATTTATTCTGTCACTGATTTTTAAGAATGAATAGAATTATTGAAGGCTAAAAACTGGATCGTGGCCCATGTAGACCATGGGCCCTACTTTATCTATGGGCCTATTTTGGGCCTATAGGCCTACACGTCGCCAACTTTAGCAAGTTGCTTGTATTTTGGAAATTTTGTTATTTCTTGATCAGAGAATATTTTTTACAACATTGTTAGATTCTGTATCTCTTTTATATATATTTTTTAATATCTGTTAGGCATAATATTTTATAGATTTTATATAAAAAAACTTTACCAATTTATTTCATTTGGCCTAAATTAGATGTTTTACCAAAAGAAAAGCATAATGTATGTGGTTATATTTGATTAAATTAATAAAAAAACATTAGGAAAAGTAATTTTCAAATAGTTAATTAAGCATCAAATGAGGCGTAAAAAGAAAGCAGGAAGAAGAAAAAGGAAAAAAAAAGGGGGCGGAATTTCAAACGTTTTTCCAAGCGGCGAAATTCTTTCGGATTTATACACTTTGTTGGAAGTCTCAAATTGACCCCATAAGTTATGTTTCCTTGCCATGGAAGCCCGCTCCTCTCCTCCGTCAGAAGCCCAACCGCCCATCGCCGACCCGGCAGATCCGACGGCTGAGATTCATCCTCTGGAGCTCATCGACGACGGAATCAGAGATGAGAAGAGGAGGAGGAGGAAGAAGAACACGGAGAAGGAAAACAGAAAGATCAAGGGGAAGAAGAAATTGAACAACGACGAGGCGTCTTCTTCGTCTTCTTCTTGCTCGTGTTCTTCGTCTCTTCCAATGCAATCGTCCTCTACCTCTCTTCCCAACCCCACGCGCAGAGCGTCGCGCGTGGCACCCCGATCGCGAAACCCTACGGTACGGTTGGGTACGGCTCGGAGAACCGTCGGGGAACAGCAAGTTGACTCCTTGGCCCTCCCTCTCGGCATGTCGATTGCGGCTTTTGTTAATCTGGTTCGTTCAAATTCCCAAGCTTTCTCAGTCTCTCGCACCCACATGGCTTAATGTATTCGGTTTAGACATGATTGTTCTGGGTGGTTTTCAGTTTGAGATGAAACCTAGAATCCGTGCTAAAATTTCGAATCTTTTAGACAACTCTATCTTCCTGTAGAAGTTCTGCTATAAATTCAATGGGCTTTAGTTTAGAACTACTCGAATCCTCTTTTGATACATGACTTGATGACTGTTTTAGGGCAAGATGATACATCTTTTTGCAAGATGTCTAGTACCACTCTGCCACGTAAACTATTCTGTCGGAAGGGAACAATTTGTCAAAGAGATTGCCCCAACTTCTGTACAATTTTTCGGTCTGATTCTTCTCTTCTGTCAAAAGCCATTTACTTGCCCTGTTGATTCCTCTAGGTTCTTGAGAGGAACAATGCTGCCGATCAAAATGTGCCCGTCAACGATCTTGCAGTGGTAAGTGAATTGAACTTTCGCTATTTTTTTCCCCGGACGGAACGAGGCTGCTTGAAAATCAGTTTCAGATCCATCTGTTTACCATTGTTTGTTTTTTTGTTAGTAACTAGCAACACTTTCACTGATTCTGCTGCAGATTTGTGCTTCGGCTGTCAGAGAATCTTTAGCCAATGTAAGCTAAAACCCTAATTGACAATTCATCTGCTCGGTTCCTTTCTTCAAGTTTTCGAGTTTTTTACCATACGATGTGGTGACAGGTCTATGGGAACAAGTTTGGTTCCTTTGCTGGGAACTTCGAGAGATCATTCAGGAGTACACTGAGGACCCTACGATTGATTAACGAGGCATCACCATTGACAAGGGAAAGGCATCAGTTAGACTGTAATGATGGAGATTCTGTCTCGGACTGTTCTATGAGAAATGTATGCTCAGAAATGGAACTGCCTGTGAGAGAACCTTCATATGTTACATCTATGTATGAAGAAATCCAGGACAGAGCAATAACAAGCTCTTCAACAGGAGAGCTCACCTTGCAGGAAGACACACGCCAGTTGTCTTGTATTACTAGAAACCCATCACTGTCTAGAAACAACCAGATGACCACAATAGAAAGATCACTGGTGGTAGAGCAGGCACGTGCAAACGACCTAAAGAGCCTGGAGATTGGTCTCACCATGAGAAAACTGAGGTTGAAAGAGACAGAGCTGGCACTAAATTATGAATCGAACAATCTCGAAAGGTCAAAGTTAGAGATTGGCGTGTCAAAAGCGTCATTCAAAGCCGAAAAATTCAAGACCGAACTAGGAGACACAAGACAGGCTGAGCTGCTTAAGCGATGTATCGACTGTCTCGTTGCAGGGCTTTTCATCATGCTGGCTTCTCTGTTGTATGGTGCTTATGTCTTCTCCTACCAGAAGATCATAGAAGCTACTGCAGTTTGTGTGCCTTCTCCAGAGGTTAGTATAATCAAATTCTTGTTGTGTGGATTCTCGAAAGAAACAAAGTTAAGGGTAATACCTGAGTTTTCTTGTTTCAGGAGAGGAGTTCTTGGTGGATGCCAAAACGGGTCTCGTCTATGAGCTCGGGCTGGAGCACGCTGAAATGCCAGGTCAGGGTGGCGACCCAGATGCTGTTCGGTCTCCTAATGATCCTAACCATCTCCTACTCCATTATCATCCGGTCATCTTCTTGCAAGCAGACAATGCCGGTCACTTTCATTCTTCTCCTCCTGGGTGTTCTATGTGGTCTAGCCGGCAAGTTCTGCGTGGACACATTAGGCGGGAACGGATACCATTGGCTCGCCTTCTGGGAGACGCTTTGTCTTGTCCATTTCTTCTCAAACATCTTCACATCAGCCTTGTTTGCTGTTCTGTACGGCCCTGTAACTGTGACCAAACAGACAAATGGCCGCCCCTTGGTTCCCTACTGGGCAAGACGCGCTCTCTTCTACACCACCATTCTCTTCTTTCTCCCATTGTTGAGCGGATTGATTCCATTCGCGGGTTTCCATGAATGGAAGGAGCATTTCGCCGAGCTTGCCATGGAGTATAGAGCAAAGCCTTTTGTGTAACATTACAAGAACTGCTCTATTTGATAATTTATGGTTTGTAGTATGAAGCTGCAACAGTTGTGGCTTCCATCCGTATTTTTTTGTAATTTTTTTTTCATCCAACTTGAATGTAACTTTTTGGATTCTGGTCCTTGTTTTGGTTGTTCGATCAAATTATATCGATTTTAAAATTCCATTGTCGGTCATATGACCATAGATGTGAGAAAGCTGTCTCAAGTCTTTGTGCTGCCGAGCCAAGAATCTGGTTTGCAGATGAAATATCTTATATTGGTTTCACAAATCATATCGTAATCTCATGTGAAAATGGACCAACATATATAACCACATACACCAACAAAAGTGTAACACAATTACAACACGTGCGGCATTACAGATCGGCTTGCTTGTGGGTGTAAATAACACCGTCTGACAGCGGCTGCGCTACACATGTGAGGACGTACCCTTCATCGATCTGGTCGTCGTCGAGGAACGATCCTTGAGATTGATCCACACTTCCCGACACTAATTTTCCGGCACATGTTCCACATGTCCCCGACCTGCACGAGTACGGAAGCTCGAGTCCTTCGTCCTCTGCGGATTCCAGTACGCACGTGTCTTCTCTTGCTTCGAACTCATGCTCTTCTCCGTCCGGACCGATCAGCTTCAATCTGTGTACAGCCACTGCATATACGTTGAAAGCCTTGTTCTTGGACCTGGTCCGTGTCCGACATGTTGTCATGTGCGGACCAGCACAAAGCCATTGCGGTTTCGGCACGACACGTGATGGTATGTGAATTCGGAAAGATGATGGAATCTTAATCGTCGACATTGTTTGTAATCTGAAAGTTAGTCATTACGACTTTCAAATCGGCATGACCAGAAAACATACGAACATGAAGAAGACGACGAACCTGGAAGATATGGGAGAGAGGCACACATGGAGAAAAGGGCTCTTGCCACGTGTAGAGACAGCCAGTGACGTGGCTCTTAGAAAGATCCGCTTAAACATCTCTGAGTTGACACGTAGGATGTTGGCCCACAAAGTGTGAGCCCATTACGGTCCGTAACAGAAAAGTTAGATGGGTAAAAGCTAATGTGGCACGTGGGCCATCTAATTGTCTAGTAAATGGGCCCTCGACCCATATTGTTTTGCTAGTGGGAAGAAATTGAAGTAAGGTCTCAATAGATAAAAGTAATAATAAGGGACGTTTTATGTAATTAAAGTAAAATGTAAGGCATTCCTAGTAAATTTCGTTTTATTCCTCTCTCGCACAAGTCACATCCATTGTTGTGTAGCAGCTCCAGCTCGAAGTTAACGAGGACTCTGGAAGAGTAGATCGAATTCAAATCATCGTAATGTTCGTCGTTTCGAAATTGCAGGTCTCGGACCCTGCAATATTGCGGAATCCGATTCTTCATCATGGCTTCGTGGGCTTTAATGCTTCTCTTCTCCGTCGGTATACTTTTCGGCCTCCGCTCCGGCGGCTCGCTCCGCCGGCCTTGCTATCCGTGCACGTATCAGCTGCGAGTTCTCCGCCGTTGGATTCGGCGCCTCCGGGAACTTCCGAGCTGTCGTCCCCCTCCCGTCTGACGGAGTCCGTCGGTCCTCCTCCTCTCCATTTCTCTCAGTGGACACTTACGCATAAACACATCGTCTTGCTCAATGTCATCGCTTGCGCTGTAAGATTCACTGTTCATCTGCGAGATTATCGCCATTTCACCGCTCAATTTCAGTATTGCTTCTTGGTTTCACTTGGATTTATGTTGGTTTCTGTGATAAGCACATTATCTCGTTGTGTAATTCAGCTGTTTTTCTATGTAGTTGTTTATTTATGTGCATAATTTAGTAATAGAGAAATCATTTTACTATCTAGTTCAATGATCTGGTGTTATTTCGAACTCCGGGATTTGTTATCTTCGATCTCACGGCTCAAGAATAATCTCGATGGTTTCTCTGAGTGGAGGGTTCTTCGAGGATATGAAATTACGATGGTTTATGTGGTGTTCACTGTGAAATTTCTTCTAATAAATTGCAGACAGCAGTTTCAGCAACATGGCTTTTCTTTGCTGCAATTCCTGCTCTTCTGGTTCGGTCTCCACCATCTCTCCTCATTAACAAATTTTTTTCTTCTCTTTGATGATATACAGAATATTGGATATAATCCAATTCTATGTTCTTTGTGATGATCATCACATTCTTCTTTCTCTAATCTGTTCCTTATGATGCTTGATAAGGCTTTCAGGAAAGCGGCCGAGTCACTAACAAAGCTTATGGATGTAACCAGAGAAGAGCTGCCTGATACAATGGCAGCCATCCGTTTGTCGGGAATGGAGATCAGTGACTTGACAATGGAGCTCAGTGATTTGGGGTTAGAGCTCTCTTTACTTGAATCTTGGCTTTGAAGACTGTTGGTGTAAATGTTGATTTTGTCTGTTTTTTTGCAGGCATGACATCACTCAAGGTGTTAGAAACTCAACTCGAGCTGTTCGCTTAGCCGAAGAGAGATTGCGGAGATTAACAAATATGGATCCAGGTTGCCTTAAAAAAACTTCAAAACCCTCTTCTAAAACCCATGCTTGAACTGTGCTGAAAAATCGGAAGTTTGCTGTTAAATTTTCACTCCCATCTTTACTTTCAGTAGTTTCCATGCAGGAGGCAGAGTACCCAAACACGGAGCAGAAAACGGGCCCCCGGGTAGCTAGAGCTGCGAGGAACTTGAGGGAAGGTATCGTGAAAGGACGATCTCTCCTGAAATTGATTTTCACTATAACTCGGATTTCTAAGATGGCTTTCAGCTTTCTCACGAAACGCTCTAAGCAACAATAGCTACGAAACCCGACGCTGACTTCCGGTTGACAGGTCAGCAATCTGTTTCCTCTGTTTCGTGCGTTTCTTGCTTCTTTCCGGCAGCAAGATCCCCTCTTTCATTAGGCACAGAGGTTTTTACTGGCTTCCTAGTATTGTTTTCCCAGAATGTTTAACCATGTTCATGTGACATCATGATGATAAATATGATGTTGATTCTCCAGGATTCATCAATTCTCCTATATATGTATATATGTATAATAAGAGACCAAAAATGTAGAATATATACAGTTGCTGTCACCTTGTAATATTCGGGCATCGATGGTTGTAGACCAAAGAGACACCTCAAGGAAGCTTTCACGGCTTGGTCGAAGACATCAAACATCATTTTACAAAGAACGGGTTTCTCCAAAGTTTTTGTTATCTCTTGTGTCTATAGGATAATTGATGAATTCAAGATGATATTGATGGGTAAATATTATAATCGAATAATGCATTATTGGGTCATTTGGTATTTATTTGGGTGCTTATTTGATTAATGAACGTTTTTCACATTCTTTATTGCAAAAAATATATATAATATAATAATGGTACATCATAACGCGTTAACTCTATATATTATGCTAGATGCTAATACGTACGTACCAATTTCTCGACGTATGACATGGGATGTTAGACAAATAGAAAAATGATTAACGAGATCTATTGTTTTCTTAAAGTCTAGATTCAAGTGATCCTGTAATATTTATTGATTGGTTTTAGCATGCATACATACATACATGCATGCATACATACATACATGCATACATACATGCATGCATACATACATACATACATACATACATACATACATACATACATACATACATACATACATACATACATACATACATACATACATACATACATACATACATACATACATACATACATACATACATACATACATACATACATACATACATACATACATACATACATACATACATACATACATACATACATACATACATACATACATACATACATACATACATACATACATACATACATACATACATACATACATACATACATACATACATACATACATACATACATACATACATACATACATACATACATACATACATACATACATACATACATACATACATACATACATACATACATACATACATACATACATACATACATACATACATACATACATACATACATACATACATACATACATACATACATACATACATACATACATACATACATACATACATACATACATACATACATACATACATACATACATACATACATACATACATACATACATACATACATACATACATACATACATACATACATACATACATACATACATACATACATACATACATACATACATACATACATACATACATACATACATACATACATACATACATACATACATACATACATACATACATACATACATACATACATACATACATACATACATACATACATACATACATACATACATACATACATACATACATACATACATACATACATACATACATACATACATACATACATACATACATACATACATACATACATACATACATACATACATACATACATACATACATACATACATACATACAAATTTCAAGACGTTTTATACATGGCATTCAATCATTGTGTTAAATACTAAGTAATTAGATAGATAGGCTGTTCAATTGGTTCATTTTGCAATTCTTTCTAATTAATTTGTCTCCGACAACTCTCGCGTTCCACTGCCAATTATGTTTATTTAAAATAAAGGTTTTCACCCCTATCATATAATGTTATAATATCGATACTTTTTTAGGGGTGGGTGCATAAATCGAGTGACGGAGACATGTCAATAATTACCAAATATAAATTGCACTAGAGTAAATGTAATTATGTAACTTATCCTTTGTTTTTTTTGTTGCAATTATGCGAAAATGATAGGGTTATATACACATACAATTTTATATAATAAATGAAACGTGGACAGCCACAAGAATACCAAATTATTGTTTCAGCTGACTTTACTGTTCGTGGCATATAATATATTACATATTGTCCTAAGGTTTGGACAAAGGAAAAACGACGTGCCTCTAGATTTGAACCGATTTTGGTGTTAAAGATATAGCAAGTTTTTATAATAAAATTACACAGTCATCGAAATGTATCGTTCATATTTTACAATGTTGACAAGTAATTTTCCCGCAGCAATCGGTCAATATCATGTGACAATATTTATACTATATAAATAATTCGAAACAATGAAAAAAAAGAACTGAAACAATAAACGCTTGATTAATTACTTACAGACGTACACACATACACACACATGTATATATAAAAATATATATATATATGTATATAGACAAATTACATATGCTTATTATTAATGGAGATATATATATAGAATTTGCATATTGTAAGTGATAGAAATCAGGAAGGACTGATTAGGAGGGTTTTTTGTTGACACCGCCAGGCTTGCCCGGCGTTGTTTTTTGCTTATTCTGTTCTTTTGGCTTCACCGTTGCTTTTCTTGTCGTCACTTCCATGATGGTTGTCTCCTCCTGCACATATACATATATATGTATATATATTATATAGTACCCACATATATACATTATAACCCAGATCCCTACGCACACACACACGCACACACACACATATATATATATATATAATGTTAAATTATTATCCATCGTCAAGAATTGCTTACCGAGTGATTTTCGGACCATGGAGCAGAAGAAGAAGGAGAAGATTTATAAAGACCGAGGCATCTGAGGAAAGGTTTAAGGGCTTCGTCCATGACCCTAAACGGCATGCACATGAACTCTCTCTCTTCTCCTCTTCTTTCTCTCTCCATCCTATTCCAATCTCTCTCTCTCTCTCTCTCTCTCTCTCTGTGAGGTCGCCAGCCAATTGTCTTCTCTTCTCGCCTTGTGTGGAATTACGTAATTCTGTCTCAGCTTTATAGAGAGAGAGAGGGTCACTCGGTGTTAGGTGTCGGCCATTTTGGTCAACTTGAACTTGGCTTTGTCATTTTGTGAGCCATGCCACTCGACCTTCTATTATCAAAATGACTAATTAAATTAACCAAACTTATCTTTTTTTTTAAAAAAGGATAGACTATATTGAAGACCGAGACTCATCTTACTACTCATTTAACTTAATCTTCTCAACAATTTGTGTATAATTGGTTTGATGAATACAACTAAACATGCTTTAGCATGACAGTGTGGTATACTAATCAACTCATCTACAATAAACGTACACATATATATATGTATGTATGTATGTTGTAATAATTTGAATTTGAAGAATATGATTCAAAATTAAATTACCCACATATACACGTAAAGGCATTTCATTGCTGGTACTTTCGCACCTAATTAACCTCTTACCAAAATATATCCCAACATGAATTGGGTCCAATTTCTTGGTGATCGTGTCGTGTAACAACGTGACATAATGGGAGGCGAATGTACATTTATGTCTTCATTATCAAAAGATTCTCCACTCCGTCTGGTGGGCCCATCTTCACATCATCATTGTACTCTTCACTTCATTCTTGCTTTTTAACCATAATAAATAAAATCCGAAATTCTCCAAGTCCAGTGACATGTAAAACGTATTTAATTACCATCACACACACACACACACACACATATATATGCATGTATATATATATATATATATGATTTTACTAATTTTAATGATAACCATATTCATATGTATATATGGGTATAATTAAAGATTAGTTGACAGCGCCAGGCTTGCCGGTGGTCGCTCTCTGCTTCTCTTTCTTCTTCGGCTTCAAAGGTAAAGCCCTCGTCGACACTTGGATGGCCGTCGCATCCTCCTCCTGTGTTGTGTAATCTTGATTCACTTTTTTACTTCAATTCTATCGTGCGTGTATATAATATCTAATTAATACGAAACTCCATGGAATGATTTGGATCGATAATATACTTACGGAATGGATTTTGGACCGTGGAGGAGAAGGTTCGAGACCAATGCACTTGAAGAAAGCTTTTACGATTTCGTCAAAGAACCTAAACGATATCCACACGTACTCGTTTTCTTCTCTTCTTCCCTCTCTCTCTTCCATATTATATTCGAAATGCTCTCTTCTTCTTCTTCTTCTCTCTCTCTCTCTCTCTCTCTCTCTCTCCCTCTCTCTCTCAACAAACCTTTCAGAGGAAAAGAAGCCTTTTTTTTTTTGTAACATGTTGTGGATGGTGTGCTAAGTAGATATATATACACAACATTCCTTTGTTTTTTTTAACAAAAAAAAAGATAATTAGGTGGTGCCTCTCATTTTCGTCATTTCATGATGATTCTTTTTGGACTTGTCCTCACCACCAAGAATGTCCATACGTATTCAATTTCAATTCCATAATGATCACTTTAAAGTTGGTGACATATTTCTCATTCATGTACATGTGTGTGTATATATATATATATAAGGATAAGGTCGGAGTGGATTAATATTTAGTTCATTCATTAATATGTGATACATGCTTTAACAGATTTTAAAGCATAATATGGTTCTTCGACTATAGATTCTGTTCTGAAATCAACCATATATATATATATATATATATATATATATATATATATATATATAAATCTATCTCTCCTATATTTTTGGTGAAAA